TTTTTTTTTTTTTAACTTCAAATTGCCATGTCAGCACTTTGGCACAAGGGTGCTAACTTTTTTGGTAACAGCTCACAAACATATGAGATCATAACTTCATATAAACTTACTAGAACTATCCCACTTAAAAGGATGCTATTTGAAAGTTTTTTTATATTAAGGAACAAATGGTACATGTTTATAAGATCAGTAAAAATAATCTGAGTTCATCTTGAAACATATCAGCAGGGACTTTAGTTAGAAGACCTTTATACGTATAAAGTATTGCTTATATCAGCACCCCACTCCTTTGGTTTTTTGACACAGAGTTTCTTTGTATGGCCCTGGGTGTCCTGGACTTGAGACCAGGGTGGCCTTGAACTCACAGCATTCAGATGTGATGTTTGTTAGGAAAGGCTGATCTGTGCCTACCTACTTCACTGTTAATCTGTAACAGAAGTATCATTAACCATGAACTTGATCTCTCAAGGATTTAACTTTAAGATTTCTTAAAAACATGTTTCAGTTTAATTCATGCCAAAGCGAGAGTCTCACTTTATCCTTCTACAGTATTACTTTTGTCAGCACCCGGCTCCTTTGGTTTTTTGACACAGGGTTTCTTTGTATGGCCCTGGCTGTCCTGGACTTGAGACCAGGGTGGCCTTGAACTCTCCCTCGTTTTGTTTTATGTGTATAGATATTTTGCCTGCATGAATGTCTGCCTTACGTATGTGCAGTACTCATGGAGGTCAGAAGTGTTTGTTGGGTCCCCTAGGACTGGAGTTACAGCTATGAGTGGCCATGTGGGAACTGGGAATCAAACCTAGGTCCTCTGCCAGCACAGCAAGTACCCTTAACTCCTGAGCCATCCCTCCATCCCCAGCACTGCGCGTTTCCCAGTGGGTGGTCTTGGGGAACCTTATGAACCCACTTTCAGAAGTACTTTCCGGGGTAGGTCTAGGAGTCACGCTGAAGGACCGTTGTGATCTGTCTTCTTCAGGGAGACACCTGCTCTTAGGAAAGCAATCTGCCGAAGTGTGTTTGGAAGGCTTGTAGTCCTGGGGTTAGAACACTTGGTACTAACCTTCAAGAAGGCAATAGGAAATGTAATCAGATATGTATTAGTTATTTTCACATCACTAGGACACAACAACCTAAAGAGAAAGTATTCACTTTGGTTTATGGTTTCAGAGGGTTCCATCCATGGTCACCTGGCCTCAGCACCACCATTATGAAGAACATTTGGAAAGACTGTTCTTCACTTTTGAGGTCAGGAAACACCCAGAGCAAGGTACTCTACAGTGACCCAGCTCCAGTGACTTGCTTCCTCCAGCTAGCTCCCACCTTCTACTTTCCACTTCCCAAGAATGCCATCAGATGAGGTCATCAGGGGATTGACCTGTCACAGTAGCAGATCTCCCAGACATCCCCTGAGATATTACTCACTGTCTAGGCACTTTCTAATCCAGTCAGTGATGCCCAACATTGGTCATTCATCACCTACGTAACTGCTCAAGTGGCTACCAGTGTTAGGCTCCCAAGAGCCTGCTGACAGGTTCTGTCTTGTGCTTTTGTGTGGTTAACTATGTCCTTCAAGCCAGTTTTTATATTAATCTGTATATGTGTGCACTTAAACCACAGCACACAGTAGTCAGAGGACAATGGAGGATGTACAACAGGCGAGTGGGGTTCTGCACCCCCATTTCACCCCCATTTCACCAAGTGCTACTGCATCAGAATTATGGGGGCTCTGGGACCTGAACTCAGGTTCAACCACTAACAACACAGGGTCTGATGCCCCTGAGTCATGTGAGCCCATCTCAGGGAGTTTCCCTTGCACCACTTCAACCCTCTTACTACGGGGTGGGGGTGTAGTCAATAGTAGAGCTGTTTCCTACCACAGTCGAGGACCTGGATTTCATTCTCAGCACCAACCAAAACAAACAACAACAAAAACCTTGTTTAATCTGGGTCCTTTCTCAGAGATGCCGTGTGAGTTTCCTTCTTTATTTGCATCTGCCTATGTAGATCCGCTTTAACACGTTTTAGCTCATAGTCCAGTAAAGCTCTCTGTAAAGCTCTCCGAGGCCCCACTGTTCTGTGCCCCACTGTTGCCCTGCTGCATCCTGATGGACATTTTTGAATTTTACACAGGTGATGTTCTTGAATTTCATGGTCCAGAAGGAACGGGGAAAACAGAAATGCTTTATCATTTAACAGCCCGATGTATACTTCCAAAGTCAGCGGGTGGACTGCAAATAGAAGTCTTATTTATTGATACAGATTACCACTTTGACATGCTCCGGCTTGTGACCGTTCTTGAGCATAGACTCTCTCAGAGCTCCGAGGAGACCATAAAGCTCTGCCTGGGCAGGCTGTTCCTGGCCTACTGCAGCAGCAGCATGCAATTGCTGCTCACACTGCACTCCCTGGAAGCCCTGCTCTGCAGTCAGCCCTCGCTCTGCCTTCTCATTGTGGACAGCCTGTCATCTTTTTACTGGGTGGACCGAGTCAGCGGCGGAGAGAGTGTGTCCCTGCAGGAGTCAACGCTGAAGAAGTGCTCTCAGCTCCTAGAGCGGCTTGTCGCTGAGTACCGCCTGCTGCTTTTTGCAACAACACAGAGTCTAATGCAGAAAGGCTCAGACTCCACAGAAGGGCCCTCTTCCTCCAGGCACCCGTGCGATGGAGACATGGACCACAGAGCCTATCTCTGCAAGGCCTGGCAGAGGGTCGTGAAGCACAGAGTCGTCTTCTCCAGAGAGGACGAGGCCAAGAGCAGCCGGTTCTCATTAGTTTCACATCATTTAAAAAGTAACAGTTTAAAAAAACACAATTTTATGATCAGAGAAAGTGGGGTGGAGTTTTGTTGATTTCTATCATCAAAAAGGCTTTTAGGTGCACTAAGGCAAGTCTTTAAAAATCTTTTATAAGCTAAAGTGGTTTGATTCTAAAGTTTTTAATTCTGGGGAAATTAATATAAACAGTACAGAAAACTCGAAGCTGTTCTGT